GCACATGCTGGGAACCGGGCCGAGCGTCCCATTTAAACAACGAACTTGAGATAGAGAGAGAGAGAGAGAGAGAGAGAGAGAGAGAGAGAGAGAGAGAGAGAGAGAGAGAGTCTGACCTGGATGTCGTTCAAAACGAACACTGTGACAGTGTCTGCTGTGTGTGATGGCATTGGGTGTGAAGATGGGAGAAGTAGGGAGAAGTGGGGACCACATCCTGTGAGCAGCAGGCTGCAGTCCGTTTCCGAATAGGACACGGTGTCTGTCACGGGGACTTCAATTCTGACTGTATCGTTCAAGAAGCCTGTGTGTCTAAATTTCAAGTTGCACTAACAGTTTCTTGATGCATACTAGCCGTTTTATTTGAGGCATAACGGTTAGCCGCTAGCCGTTTTATCTGAGGGGTAACGGTTAGCGCCGTTTTATCTGAGGGGTAATGGTTAGCGCCGTTTTATCTGCGGGGTAACAGCTAGCAGCGTACCACACACACACAAAAAAAAAGAACGTTTAACCCCCTCTTCACGATGAAGGCCTAGTAGCTTGACCCCCCACAGGCATTAATTTACCAAATATAATAAATTCATCATCTAATCCGAAGAGGTGTGTAGTATACCCCCCTTTATGACCCCCCCTGCAGATCCCTTTTAGTCAAATCGGCCACAGCCATCTTCAGTTGCATGGCTATCAGCATCAGATGGTATGGCTTGTCTGGGTGGGGTGGGGGGGGGGGGGGGGGGGGGGGCGGGGAGGGAGGGGACGTAAGGGGGGTCAGGAGAGAGGGGAGGGGGAGGTGGAGTCGTTGGGGCAGAACTAATTCCGAGATTCTGACTGCATGGGTGGCCTTTCCCGATTCGTCCATGTTGTCACGGTGACGTTCTGACGGATACTAGAGGCCACTTTCCTTTTCAGGAAAGTGCTTTTCCCGACCATTGGATATGGTCCATTTTAACCATTTATCATTTACACAATAAGGAAATCATGGAGAGGGTACTAAGCCTTCCACGGTTTTCTGCTGGACGCTGTTTTCTACCCCTACTGACTGTCCAGCTGAGGTAGGTTGCAGGGGTCATGGCAACCCCCTCTCCTCTCCCCTCCCCCCCCGGCTACCCCCGCCTGCTCCCCCCACTCTCCTCCATTTGATAACGTCTGTTTTGCTTTCTTTTTTTTAATTAATTTCTTCCCTTTGTTGGAGCGTTTTCACTTCTTCGAATGAGACGAGGGGAGTGTGGTCATTCTTTTTCGCTTGTGGAGAGAGTTGGAAGTCGATATAATTGCAAAATGCCTTTTTAACTATTTTCACTATTTATAGGGGCTGTCAGAGCTTGCGTTACTCTGTTAAAATTTTCGGCAATAATTATCATAATGGCTTTTTGACAATGGATTTCCTTTCCAAGATACTTTTTTTTTTTCTTTCTCTCCCTCTCCCCTGAGGCTCCCCTAAGTTGGGACAGTAATGTGTGAGCTTAGAGTATAGCTTGAGCTCAGACTAACGGTCCCCGAGTTACAGACTAAGGGTTCTCTAAGTGACAGGCTCACGGAAGCCTGTGGTCAGACTAACGGAAGCTCGAGTTCAGACTATGGTCTAGTAAGCTCACTGACAGATTAACCAATGGATGTCTAAGTAACAGACTAACGGTAGCCTGTGCTGAGACTATAGCGGGAGTTCAGACTATCATGGTCTATCTAGCTCAGACTAACGGTCTTTAAGTGACAGTCTGAGACTAACGGAAGCCTGTGCTTAGACTATAGCTCGAGTTCAGACTATGGTCTAAGCTCAGACTAACCATGTCTAAGTTACAGACTAACGTTAGCCTGTGCTTCGACTATAGCTTGAGTTCAGACTCTGGTAGACTAACGATCTCTAAGTGACAGACTAACGGAATCCTGTGCTTATATAGCTTGAGTTCTGTCTATGGTCTAGTAAGCTCAGACTAACCATGTCTAAGTAACAGACTAACCGTAGCCTGTGCTTAGACTATAGCTTGAGAGTTCAGACTATGGCCTAAGCTCAGACTAACCATCTCTAAGTCACAGACAAACTCAGTGGTCCTCTGAATATAGCCTGGGTTCTGTACTATAGTCCAAGTTCAGACTAATGTGCCTAACGTTTAGACGAAGGGCCTGAGACTCTCAGTTTAGCTTGGGCTTGGACGAAGTTTAAGTTAACCTAGTATGAGGTTGGATAAGCGCAAAGCTCAGGACTAAAGGTTTAGTTAGGAATTTGAGTTAGGACCTTGAGTTAGGACTTTGAGTTAGGACTTTGAGTTAGGACCTTGAGTTAGGACCTTGAGTTAGGACTTTGAGTTAGAACCTTGAGTTAGGACTTTGAGATAGGACTATGGTTTACACACCGGACGATAGGCTAAACCTAAGGTAGGACTCTCTCCTGAGAGAGTTAAGAAGAAGTACTATATATTTCATTGCCAATCAACTTAACTAGGTGGGGATTCGTAAGATGAGGTCGGAGCTCAGAGTTCCATTGACTCTCTTCAGTTCGTTCCGCAACCGAGGATTACTTCTTGCCATTGAACATTCATCGTACATTCTTCTGTTCATCGTACATTCATGTTACATTCATCTTCCGTTCATCGTACATTCATGTTAAATTCATCCAACGTTCATCTGCCGCATTTGTTCATCATACTATGCATTTTGACAGCAACGAATCATGATTGTGGAATGTGTTAGTCGGTGCACTTAATTTCTTTAATCGAGCTGCACCTCTCTCTCTCTCTCTCTCTCTCTCTCTCTCTCTCTCTCTCTCTCTCTCTCTCTCTCTCTCTCTCTCTCTCTCTCTCTCTCTGTGTCTGTGGGTGTCTCTCTCTCTCTTGCACGTGTGCACGCTCGCTCCCTCGTTGGCTCTTGGTCGCTCAGACGTATACCTGCACAGTCAATCAATCAATCAATCAATCAATCAATCGATCAATCAATCAATCAATCAATCAATCAATCAATCGGCCGATCAATCACGCAATCAATGATTATATGGAGTCAAAGGACGATCATACTTGTAATTAGCAAAACCTGGATAGGCCAAGGACTTGGCGTATAGGAATTGTACACATACTCTACAGTAGCTGTAGCTATAGCAGCTAGTATAGCAGCTAGTATAGCAGCAACTAAGCAGTCCTATGGCAGCGAGTCAGATCAGCTATAATGCCAACATCCGCTTTAAATTTCCAGGCGCCACGTCGTGTGTTACCATTCATTTCATTTTGCACTAATTTATCTACCGGAGTCGCAATGCATGCATGCGTGCATGCGTGCATGCATCTCAACGTTCTGCCAAATTGAATCCACTCACCGACTCGGAGTGAACTGAGTCAGCTGAGAATAATTGCCTTCCCTCCTAAGTTATTCAGTGTCAATAAACACGACTCACATCTTTCGATCCATGTACATGCACACTGTCTTCATTTCCCTCTCTCTTCTGGAAAACAATTCCTCATTAAATTTTGATGTCTGTCCTTTGCCTGTGCCTACTTGGTTTCCTTCTGACATCCGAAGGCTTAGCACTGACCAAAGCAACCGTTGCGGTATTCTCTGGAACTCCGCTCACACGTGAAGGCACATCTGTGGCA